ACGGAGATAGGCTGCAGCTGGCCGCTGGTCCCGCTGGGTGTAAATATACTCGCCAGTGCACTCTGATTTTTGGCCATTTTCGCTGCATTTTTGGACCCGGAGGGGCTTTGTCTAGCTCATGGTGTTGGCCTATTGGGTTCGATTTGCTTTGGTCACCACTAAGCTAACTGATTTTTACGGTCTGTGTGAGCTCCATCAATAGATTTGGCTTGCAAGGATGCCCATGAGTAAATGAAAATATTGATATTTGAATTAAGGCGAGGCTTCGGTTTGAACAATTTCTAAGAGTAATTGATTGCTGATTGGGTTTATCACTTTTCACACTCTCAGTGAAACATGGAATAAAAATTAAGCTGAGAGAGAATGAAAGCTTATTTTTTGCATGCTTTCAATTTCTATTTTACTTATAACTTTAAAAATGAAATTGCAGGTTATTTATTTTCAGGTAATTAATTTTATTTTCTCTTTGAAATTCTTGAAATAAATATCTTTGCTTGTTCTATATTATTTTTTTTAGAGTTGGCTTATGATTTATATTTGCATTTAAATTGAAATATTCAGGTATTTTTTTTGGGTCAGAAAAAGGCCTTTAAATTTTTATTAAATTGGAAAATTTTTAGACAGAATGCGAAGAGATTTTTCATACATTGAACTGTAGCATTTTAAAGTATTAATCTAAATTAATCTAAATATAATAAGGAAATTTAAATTATTTTGTGAAACCAACAAGACATTTTTTAAATTTAAAATCATCTTCAATTTAGGTAATTTCTCTGACATGGCTTGTTTAATGCTCTCTTTTCATTGTATTTAATTTTAGTTTTATGAAAACCCTTAATGACCCTAAGGGCAAGCGAATGCTTTAAAGCCTGACACCTGTACGGTGTCTTTTAAGACGTTTTTCAATTCAAGTTAAATTGCTGGAAACATTTCTGGGTGGCCCAAAGTTTTCGGCCCTTGGCCAAAAGTGGCCTTAACCCTTAACCTTTTTGGGGCACCCCTCTCCTTGTTCATTTTTGCTGCTTAGGCAGCCTGCGCAAAATGCTCGTAATTTGCTTGTTTCTTTGCACTTGAATTAGACGTGGATGTGTGTTATTTTGAGCCATGTCCTTGCAGCTGCGCCACTTGTAAAGTCGTTTGCTTGGACTGTGCAAACAAAATGAGCGAGCAGCGAAGAAGACTAGTAAATGCATTAATGGATGCACCCACCCGCCGTTCCAGCTTCACCTGTCCTGCTCCTGCTCCTCTACCGTCTCTACCGTCTCCTCATCATCCTTTCAGCACGTGTGAGTGGGCCAGGTGCTCTTGACATTGCCCTGAGTAAAAGGAGGCTTCAGTGTTTACGCTGCGACATGGCGAATGCTTCAGCCTGAAGAGTTCTCGCTGCCCTCGTCGTCTTTGATTGCGTGCTCGTCTCGCTGGGATCAGAATATATACATATGTATTTATATATACAATATGTGTGTGTATATAGTGGGACTCGTCTTGGGCTCGTTAAGTGTCGCCTCCTTATGGCATTTCATGCTATTTTAAATGCATTTGAATAAATAAACACTCCTACGGTGGCAGTCGTAAAATGTTTATTACGTGGGCAAATGTTTGTGTCTGGCCTCATTAGGAATTGAAGCCGAGGGCCAAGGCACGGGGCGAAGGCGACAATGGAAATGCAAATGCAAATGCAGCAGGCTACATTTCGCACTTAATGCATTTTTAAATCAAAATCCCACAACGCACATCCCGAAGACGTTTCGAAATTGCATTGAAATTGCTTTAATTGAGTGGATTTGCAACCGAATCAAAGTGTCCCTGAGGGCATTTCAAAGGACCTAAAGGGACTTTCCAACGAGGTGTTAAGTAAATAGGTACTTAAAATAGTTACGGTTGATTTAATAATCAATATTTAAGTCCATGTTTTGTTTAATCAGTGAAATTTTGTTCTAAAGTCTTTCATAGTTGAATAAAGAGGTACAGAGCTCATAATTTGCACATTTTTATTAAATAACAATACGTTTTTACCACAGATAAAGACAAGCCAAGTTAACATCTCAAGACATATTTTAATATTTGAAAAAGTAAATGTATAGTTTATTTTCACGATTTGTCTGCCTTCTCCTAAAACATTTTTTTTAGACAGAGAGAGAGAGTGAGATTTAGTGACAACTCTTTAATTGATTGCCCCATCAATTATGCACATCGCGGGGCCCACGTGTGGTATGCGTGATATTTCATTTGGTCCTTGATTAACTCACTGCCTCAAATATTTGCCAGCAAATACAGCATATATATGCTTAAATGTTTGCCCCCAAAAGAGTAACGAAACTATTATATTTGCATATGAATTGGCCCAAAGCCCACCACCTACCACCCTCCACCTCCTGCAACTGCCGCCTCTCTGTCCTCTTTGTTTGACTGTCAAATGCTGAGCAAACATGGCGAAGATTCATGTATCTCAACTTCAGGCTGACACTTTAAGTGGAAGTTATGCAAATAAATAAATGTGGATTGACTTGACAAGCAGGGAGATATATAGACACACACTGACAGTTCAAGATGGAGTGGGGGCAAACATGCAAAAGTAATTAAACGATATGGCAATTTCCACAGACATAGAACACAAATAGGGTTTAGTTTCATGTTTGGTTTAAGTTAAGACAAAGCCAATAAACATATTTAATAGTTAAGAAGTAATCAATATTTGCTTTAAAATATATTACAAGTAAATTTCTCCCTGGGAAATGCCCATATTATTGACAAACTACCAAGCATGTGGGCCCCAAAATACAGGATTCTCTTTATAGAATCGCTGGGCCGCATAATTATAATGAATCCTTTTTGTCAGCTAACTTAACCCTAATTTGCGCCAGCTCGCATTATCCTTGGGTGTAAACACATTGCCTTTGCCATTGTCTTCTCCCATGCAGGTGCGAAAACAGTTAAGAGCGGCGAATGCAAAAACGCCGCCGCCTGCTGCCTGCCACGTCTGCTAATTAAGCTCCAAAATGGTAAATGGAAACCGGAGAATGGAAAATGGAAAATGTAAGGGCCGAGGAGGAGTGGCTGAAAAACTCAACTATTCCTCTGCATTGTTGCTGCGACTTTTGTGCATGAAGCTGCAGCAGCAGATGCTGCCAGAGGAGAGCCTCAGACTCATCCCCAGCATCCCCATCGCCTCCTTCTTAGTGCCCCCTCCCCGATCCTCTCCAGCTGATGCGGGCATCGCGCGAGTTGTGAAAGCTTCAGCCCTGACCACATTTTAATTGGGCTAAGCACACGCCATGTGCCTGTGCCGGTGCTGGTGCCGTGCATGTGTGACATGCTATTAGTGAAACTTTTAAATGAGTTAGTTAAGTAAAGCGGGTTACGTTATTATGAGTTTTTGGCTTGGACATTACAAAAGCTTGTCAGCTCGGTCTGAGCTGGGGATTCAACGCTTTTTCATTCTTTGCTCCCTCGAACAATGGGTAGAGCAAAGGTCCTTGAAGGTATATCATGGTTTTTGAAATCAGAATGTTGCTGGGATGTACCTAAGTATTAATAGTAAAAAAATAACAAGACTAGGGTTTTTTGAATATAAAAATATCAGTGATAAATTCGAAACCTTATTACCTTTTGTATTAAATTTATAGAAAGAATCTTTCTGGCAGAAGACAAACCAAATTTCAACCAAACTGGATTTAATTACATGGCCTATATCCCTAGTTTACTAACGCTCACCGAAGGCATTGCATTCCCCTGTAAATTCTATTAAACTCAAATAAATGTTGCTTGCTAAGTAAATGCGTAGAAAATGCCTAGTAAATATTCTGCCAGGCATACAAAATCCCTGTGGCCGGACAAATTGAATGCAAAATCTATACACAGCCTCGCTACTCGATGTTTTATTGGGGCAAATATTATTCTGGTAATTATATTCGAACCTAGTGGGCGCAATCAATTTTCAATTAGTAACATGCAATAACTCCGAACACATTTCTTGAAAGGCAAAAACCGAGGGGATTGCCGTTGGTAATTATTGCAAATTATATGGCACCGAACATTGGTGTATATAAACGACGACGATTGCAGTCCTGCCAATCGAATTTACTTGAATATGGGAAAAGGAATGCGAGGGAGAGAGCAGGGCGAAAAAATATTATTCAATTACGCGTCATATCCAGGACAATGGTAACGATGAGCATAAAAGCAGCCGCCGCCGCCATCGCCATCGCCAACGCCTTCCCATAAATACACAAAGTCTCCCTTTCAGTCAGCCCCCCAATGCCAATACTGTGTGCCATAAATTGAAGTAATAACAGTCATGTGGGACACGCGGCATACCCATAATAGTTTCGTCCTTCCTGCGAATCTTTGAACTGTAATTTTCGAAATTAAATCAATGTATAAATGGTTGACAACAAGCCAAGCCGGACCGCATTCCGAGCCATAAAGAAACAACATTCCATTGCCCTTTTGGCATTCCCCGAGAACTCTTTGATTTATTTTCGCCTTGGCACATTCCTGATTGACTTGAAAAAATCAATAGAAAGTGTATTCCACACAATTAGCAGTGAGGGGAGGGGGCCCTCCTCCCACGGAGGCTTTCACCTGGGCATGGACTGCATTGATAAAACTGCCTGCCGACTGGCCGGGTCATCCCCTGGAGGAAATTTACATAAAACTCAAATAAAATAAAACGACAAACGTAATAATCATTAGGCGGCGCTCTCCTGGGTGCAGTCCACACAGTGGACAGTGGGCACAAGATGCCTGCAACTGGGAGTTGGCAGCAGGAGCTGACTTATTTATGGAGTTTCCATGTTAACGAGCCACTCGCAGTAAATTAATTTGGTGCGAGATAAATAATACCTACGGGTCGGGCATCAACTCGAGGAGGTTTAAGGTATTTTAAAGGTTACAAAAATAGCATAAGTTTAAATAACAAATTTAGAGTCTTGGGAATAAATTTTAAAGAACTTCGCTTTTATCTCTCCAGAATACAAATAAGCGGGTGTACATTCCTTTTAGTAACCAATCCAATCTTGTAGAGCAACTTTCTGCTGTTCAATTTGCTCACCCATCTTCTGGGTCATGGCAAACTGGATAAGGATGAGCAAATAGTTGACCAGGATCGAGGTGAACTAAAATTATTAAAACAAAATAATACAATTTCACAATTCTTTAGAGAAAACTAATTACCAGAGCAATAACCCTCCTGTTGAGAACGACATCTAGGCCGCTGGTGAACTGAATCCTGGCCTGCCTTCGCCAGCACATCAGGGACTCGACCAATGGACGGAGCGAGGCAATCTTTGGGAACCAGTTGTCCAGCTGCTCTACAAGACGGAGGCATCGCTGGGCCTCGCGGATGGTTCGATCGCAGTAGAAAGGGGCGATCAGCAGCTTGTAGAGCGGAGTGGCCATGCAGAGGGCCACGTAACCGAGCATTCGATAGTTGATGCCCTGCTCCTCCTCCTCTTCCTCCTCCTGCTGGTCAGCTCCACCTCCACCGATTCCCACAGACATTCCGAATAGGATGTACAGCTCGCTGGTGGTCATGGCCAGATCGTGGGCAATGGCCGACCACAGGCTAAGAGCGTATACAGCATTAATCTCCTGGACAAGGTAAAGCAGCTCCTGGACCATGACCACCATTTGTCGAATGCGCACTTCCCTCAGTTGCTTCTGGGGAAAGCGCCACTCCAGGAATTCTGGATGGAGCAGCTGCTGCAGCAGGCGGAAACGAATGCCCAGCAATTCGGCCAAGTTCATGTGCACATAGCCCGTGAAGTGGGGTCCGCCCGTAACTATGGCATAGCAAAAGACTGAGATCAGAAAGAGGACTCGGTGACTACTGCCCACTTGTATGGCGGCACTGTTAATGGCCACCAAGTACAAAACACTGACCAGGGCCAGGATCACAATGTTTTTTTTCAGCATTTTCCTGTAATTCAAATTAGCTCCAAAGTCCCGCATCAGCTTGAGATCCAAGGCGGCCAATCTTTTGTAGATTCCCAAGTGGCGACGGGCTGCTAACTGCAGGGATGCGACAGTGGCCACAAACACTAATGTGGATAGTGCCAGTTCCTGGACAGCGATGCTCAGAACCAGCTTGTCGGCGTGCTTTAGTTGCTCTTGAACATCGTCGGCGGCCAAGAGGACACTCAGAGAACCGAATAGTCCTAGTAATGTCAGAACAGTCACCACCAGGGAGTAAATCCTGCGCCACCGGCTGATCCTGAACTGTGATCCTCGACCACTAAAACCGCTGCAGCCCATCATGAACTGGAGGCCACAGATGAAGCTGGCGCAGTCGTAGACGGTTTCCGGTTCGCGGAAGAAGTACAAAACGGCCATTGCTTTAGGCAGAGGAATATGAACTGATTATTACAGGTATTATGTCAAAGATGACCTCAAATATTAGCCCCATTCTGTAGGAAATACACTTAAAATTTTGTATGAATGTGCTTTAAGTCTAAAATATAATAGGTAGGTCTTATAATATTAAAGAAAATAAACCAAAAGAGGCTTTTCGTTAAGTTATAATTAGTTGAGAGTTGAGTGCTGATGTGTTAACACCAATATTTCTATATTTTTCGAAAAGGATTAACAGGATTCTCAGTGTGTGACATGCCAGCCACCTTTTCGAGCATATAAAAGCTATTAAAGTAATTTAGTAATTACCTCGATTACTTTCGTGATAACTTAGACAAGTGCTTTTCCTAATTTATGAACAATTTCCCCTTGCCATTGTCTGCGGCCAGCAATCTCGGTGAGCGCGGTTACGCAAACATAAATGATTTCTAACAAAAAACAATTCCTAGCACAAACTACTAGCAAACGTTTCAATCGCAAAGTTGAATTTCAATTAGATTGGTTTTGCGGCTAAAAGTTACTATATAAACTGGTGAAAGGAAAATAATTTAATTTTTGCAACAGTGGAAGTGCTGTCAGTTTAAATACCATAATCCGAGGGATTATGGCCAAGCTGGAAAAGTTGTTAATGCCTGGTGACAGAGCTCAACCCTTCGAATTGGGCCAGTTCGGCAGAGATGATATCCGGCATGATTTACAGCTTGCCCGGGAAGGTAAGGCATCGGAGGGCCATTTTGTTGGCTTTAATTAATAAAACTTGATTAACGGAAATTTTATGATTGTCCAAACGGCAGCAGGAGGCAATCAATCATCGCCTTGGCTCGCTCTTTCCCTCTCATTCACTTCTGTTAATTATTTTGCATTAAATATTTATGAAATTCCCGAAAGAAAAAGCCAGCGCACGGGGACAACTCGGTTGGGAAGAAGTGTAAAATTAATTAGCCTGTGTCCGGACGGACGAAGAACCGTCAAATGGTTGCAAATGACAACTGGAGAGTTGGTTAATAAATTGTTTGCTGCACATTTGTGGTTCAATAGACAGGGACACACATGGGCATAAATAAATGCGAATGCGATTTCGAAATTATTTATGCGCAACTGTTGATTTTCTGGCTGATTAACCTTTGGGAGCTTAGCCAGGAAATACATTTTATAAATTAACTGAATGTGGGAAACTGGATGCTCTGCCTAAAGTGCATTTAGTTTAGATAATATAAAGTATTTCCAGCAGTGAAGAGACTCCTACTTCCACTTAGAGTATGTCCTTGTAATTACAATGATTTTTTTTGCCAATTTTGTTTATTATTTATCGCCTTTCGCTTCAATGCTCAGCTATGTAGTAACATATGCGCCAACATTTGCATTAACAATGGCAATTACCAAATCCAATCGGAAACAATTGGTTGGGATTCATTGGACTTGACTCGGGTCCGGCAGGCCTGCACTTTTCACAGGAGCTTCTCCGCCTTTTCAGCCATTTGTCCTTGTCAATTAGGCACTCCTTTTCTACACACATCCTGGCTGACAGCTGGCTGTCTGAGTGATGGGCCGGCTGATTGACTCGCCGAAATGTCCAAAAGTAAAACAACACCGAGACACCGAAAAAAAAAGGGAAATCAAATCTCCGCCCATATGGATTCAATTAACGCTAATTTAAAATGCCAACATATCTGGAGAGGCCTCTGGAAATGGGAAAAATGGGAAAATTCGCAGCCCGTTTTCCACATGACCCCCATCAAAATTCCGTTGTCAGCGGTTCAGGGTTTGACACTCCAAAGGGCAGAATCGGTAACAACAACTTTTTCGTGTCAGGCCAAACAAGCTTTGATTGAGGGCAATAAGCGAGCCAAATTGAGTTTAGAATGTGTTGGCCATGTTTATGAAATTGTCAGATGGATCATATATAAATAGTATAGTATAGTGGCATTTTCAATAACCCTTTTTTTTGCGAAGGTGTACTCAGGGAAAGGGTCTTATAATTTAAAGCAAAAGTGAAGGATGTAATATAACAATTATTCTTAAAATATATTTAAATATATCAACGTACAGATAGTTGAATATGTTTCAAGTTTGAAATCAGATTTTTTAGTTGTTAAAAATTAATATAATAATAATGATTTCATGGCTATTTAAATTATTTCTAAATATGGTTTTATTGTACTTAAAATTTTCTCTCGTTATATATTTCCCATTAAAGCTTATTATTAATTATTTATTGAATAGCTTTTACCGTTTGTGTTTTCTCTTAGAAGATTATTAATAATTTTTGTTAATTAGCTAAATTTCAAAAATAGTCAGCAACTGTTCCAAACTAAACTCATTTAAAGGTGATTTACATTAAATTTTTTCATTTTTACCTTAATTCTTGTTTGTTTATTTCCCGTAAGCTTTGACTATTTATTATTTATTTAGTGCCACAGGAAAAAGCTTTTCCTAAATAAACAAATATTTTGTGTTGAACTATCATTTAAAGATTTAAAATACATATATAATATCCTTTGAGTGCCAACTGTGTTTTTCCAGCAGTTTAAAAGATTGTTGTGGTTTGTTTTTTGGGGGGCAGAAGAAGAAACCCATTTGTAGGCACTTGCCCGACTGAGTGCGTCCTAATGCCGCTCACAATTAAATTAAATAACACCATAATTAATTACTGCCCACGCACACACACTTACGGCAGTAGGGACTCGGTTCTCGGGACTTGATTTGCTGGCCAAGAAGGTGCTAATGTCCTGGCCCATTCATGGTGGATTGGGGATGGTGTGCGTGAGTGAAATAAAGAATGATTTATGGCGGTAAGCTAACTAGCGTTCTGTTCCCGAGCGGGCCACGCATGTTCCTGTTCTCACAATTAGGCGGTGACCCCCGTGTGGAAATGGTTTGGAAGGGGAAGAAGGGCATAAGGGTATGGGAGGCACCACTCGCTGAGCCATAAATCGCATCATAAATAAAAGGGCAGAGTCGCAATGGAGCCATCAAGTTTGATGCAACTTATAACCGTATTTGGTCATAACCGAGCCAATGGGCCTGCATTGATTGGATATATCGGGTGTCCTTAAGCGTCGCTGACGAAGGCCCATCAACATCTTGAATGTCCGCCCATCAAGGAGCAGTGATAACGCTCCTCTGCACAAAGGCGTTTAATGTTAACGAGCAAATGGCCCCCAAGTAACTGCACTCCTTTCCTTCCCGCCACTTTTATAAATTGTGTTATGCATAAAGTTTATGCGAACGTAATACTTACAGATATATACTTATAAATATATATATATACATATTTATAGTCAAGGGTTATCATCGCGGCTGCTTTATCTCGCCCAGCCGCTGAAATATGCTTCTGTTCCTTCTCTTCCTATCTGCCCGGCATCTTTCCGCGCTGCATGTTCATTTGATGCCGGTGCTCTCCGGCTGCTGCCGCACAGCATAAAATCCACTCAGCCGTGCCACATAAAACCCGCAAAAAAACGATGGAATTATGGTGCCTGCTCATTGTGTTGCAGCTTCTCACCTCGCGCCCAGAGCCTGCAAGCAGCACAAGTTCCCTGCATTCCGCAAGAGAGCTGCTCCTGGGCAAAATCAGGGGTATATTAGTTCACATCATCTGTGGGATTTCCGCAGAGGGGGCCTTGACAAAGACTTCTTAATTTAAATGAAGACGAGGGACTGAATACACTGGGGAATAAAACTCCACACTATGTTATTAAGGAAGTTGGAATGGGGTTGCGTTTAGTGCGAAATTCGCACTGCGAATCCTTTTTCAATAGGGCTTCTCGGTTTCCTTGCGAGACTCCAGAACTAACATATTCCAATCGGTTTTCTTGGGTGAGTGTTCAGTATCAACCCTTTTCGAATCCGGTTAAGTAGTAACCAATTTCCAATGGGTTCCACGTTTCTTTTAATCATTCTCTAATAGGGTTTTCTGATGACCGGTATATTATAAAATATATTAAGTTCTTGTTCGACAATAATTATAGATAATTTTATTTTAATGTTAAATGCAGTTAATTAAACTGTTTTTTTTTTTTTCTGAGTGATTCCTTAACCCGAATAGAATATTTTCATTAAAAAGATTCAAGATTCAAGACCTGGGCTTAGTCCAAATAAATTTTAATTATGTGAAACACAATATATTGGGAGATATGCAAGATCCGATCCAGCCTATACGCACTTTGGGCTCTCCAGCCACAAGGCTGCAAGCTGCCTTTGAGGCAGCAGGCAAGCCGATTATGTTGCACGTTCCCCGGGAAACGGCAACTTTGCTGCCACATGTCGGTTGTCGGTTGTTGGTTGCCGGTTGCTGGCTCTTGGTTGTTGGTTGTCGGCTGTTGGGTGCTGGATGTTGAGGCTCGACGTGTGTCAGAACTGATTAATGAGCTGCAAATGATGTTATGCGCAACGCCCGCTGCTAGGGCGTAAATCAGAAATAAGCAGGCGTGCCGAGGAGAAGAATGCTGGATGCTGGGTGTTTTGGAAGTGGTCTTGGAGGTGATGGCTGGGTGCAGGCGCTATATAATGATGCTAATGATGCTGCCGATGTGGCATTGTTCGCGTGCGCAGACAGCTCGGCATTCATCGCCTGCCCTTGCATTTGTCACTTGTTGCTGCACAGCTGCTCTCTCCCCTTGACACTTTGTGTGTCCGCCAAATATATCCTCTGCGGAGTTCTATTCTAAATATCTTTGGTTGAATCCCCCAACTGGGGTCTAGAAACTTCCCCGCCAATTGGCAGATGTCAGCTTTAAGCCATTTTAAAAGGCAAATGTCTGACAAAGCAGCAACTAAAACTTTTTATGCGCCACTTTGCCCGGCCATTCACAACTTGTACGTGGCAAATAAAAGTGCACCCGGGGACCGCCTGCGTAACGCTTGCCAAATGGGATAGACAACACTTTGCTCCTTCCCCCAGCTCCAGCTCCAGCTCCTGTTCCCGGCCTGGAAACAGATTTAAGTATGCAGTTGTAAGCCATAAAATCAGCTTAATACTTCCGCCGAGCCACAAAATCTGAATTTATAGTCAACACAAGGAGTACAAGCCAGAAGGAGAGTTCGAATTCGAGGCTTTGATTTGGGAAATGTCTTTGGGAATACCCTTTCAACGGGATTTGAGAATAAATGCGAGATTTTATTTTGTATTGGAAAATTAAACATTTACTTAGAAAGGCTGAAAATAACAAATTTAAATCATTAATTATTTATATACATTTTGTGAGGCTTCTATCTTTATTTCCTTTGTTCTTTATTTCAAATTTTATATAAAAATATTATTAGAAACTTTAATCAATTATAATATTAATATCTAATACAAAGGAGGGTATGATAACCCTCCCTAGGGTATCTGGAAAAGATTTAAAATAAGAATCTAGAACACTAACGAGGAGAAATGTGCTGGGCCCTGTCAACGACTGGCTCACATTACATAAGACCAGTTTCTGGGTTTGGTTTCCACTTTGTGACACGGCTCGATGGGCAGGTCAGCTGGCCAAGGGAAAGAATATATCTACGGCAAATGCAAATTCCGACGACCCCCGATGAGATTGCTTTCGCCTTCTTCGCTGCTCGTTTGCCATAATGTTTCCATATTCATATCTGGCAAAGTGAAAGTGCTTGATTAGCAAAAAATAAAGAAATCTGCCTGCTTTTGGCGGCTCCGAGACTTAGACACATGCGGAGTGACTGATTGCCTGGGCCTTGTGTCAGTGACTAGTGATTAGTGTTTATGCAAATGGGTTCTAAAGACCTGGCCGGGGCATATAAATCAATGTGGATGTGAGGAGGTCGCGCCAAGTCTGAGCGAGATGGGCGACAGCCACAAGTGGATGAGGCAGCTGCTCTTGGTGGGCCTGATTGTATTGCTGAACTGCAATGGAAACCCCTTAGGTGGGACTGGCAGAAAAACCCTTTTTTTCATCAACTAATGAATTTTCTTTGCCCCACAGCCAGGCGGCTAAGATTGCGTCCGCTGAATGCCATAGAGATTCGGCATTTAGAGAACTCCTTGCCCGCAGGTCGATCGGTCTCTAGTGGATTCGCTGGCCTCACCGGCTTTGCTTTGGGTTTGGGAAAAGCCCTGACTGGTGTGTTTATCTATGACGTCATTACTGCCAATATCACCGAAGCCGAGGAGAGCAGTGTCTCAACCAGTGGTTCTTCCTTGAGAGAGATCTGTCTCAATACGGGTAACTCCAGTTCGGATATAACTTGCATTGTTTACTACACTAATAATTAATATAAAATATAGCAATAAAATGATACAAGTCTAATAAATTATTAAACACAACACATAAACCTAAAGGTTTGCATGTTAATTCACACTACTTAAAATTATAAACTTATCTCATTTTAAAGCCTTGATAAATATGAAAAAATATATATTTATTTATACATTTTTATTCTGTATTTTGTATTTTAAACATTCCTGACCTGGCGCATATTATTTTCTAGCTGATTGTTTATTCTACCAAGCTAAATGGAATTTGCGAATTAAGATAACATATTATTTTTGGCTACCGCGTGGCGTGAAATTATTCAATGTATCGCATATAAAAACCTGTTTCGGGGTCGCCACTCTGTCAGAGGTCAAACTTTTTATGTTTTCAGAGGAATCTATGATTTTGGGAATGGGAATTTGCATATATGCAAAGCTAGGCACTTTCTTTGCTTCATCGTCACACATAAAAGTGACGCAGAACCCGTTGGCCGTGTCAGTTGTGTTTCTACGCGATTACGCGAAAGATCTTCGAAAAGATGAGGTCGTCCCGGAATTTGACATTTAGCATATTCATCCTCATTGGAGTTATCAGTGTCGGCTTGGAAGGTGAGTAGTGAAAGTTGATCTTTACTCAACAGGGTGTTTTTTTTTGTGGGGGGAATAAATTTAAAATTTTATAATATTTTATACAAACATAATACTAATCTCCTTTAAATTTTGATCTGCAGCTCGTCGCCTGGTCCTGCGACCCTTGACGCCGAGGGAATTGCGAAATGCTCTGGATGAATCTGGAATTGGTTCAGAATCTGCAGCTGGAAAGTCTGTGTCATCGGCTTTTGCAGGACTCACTGGCTTTGCCTTGGGCATTACAAAGGGCATCGGAGGCTCAATCCTGTTTGATGTGGTCACCTCTAATGTCACCATTGATTACATTACGAGTTTGCTGAACTCCACTGCCAATTCTACGAGCAGCAGTGGAACCGCCCAGGAGATCTGCTTCAATAGTCGGAGTGTCGACGGGGAGGTCATTAATGGCAGAAGCAACGATGACGCCTACGTAGATGACAGTGTATATCCATCGGGAGAGTGGAGGCAAACGACATCGGGTACTGGTACTGCTGCTACTGGGACATCGACTGGTACTACGACTCCTACGACTACTTCCGGCTCTAATGGAGTCACCTGCATTGTCCTAGGCTCGAAGGGATATCGTCGCAGGCGCCTACTGGAGATAAGACCAGGAACATTACCTAGTCGCTCCTCAAATCGATTGAGAAAGTATCGCAGGACAAGGTTTTAAGAAGGATAAACACGCCTAGCCTAGTTTAGCTTTAAGTTTATTTATTTATTTATTGAATTCGATTAGTTTATTAAACTTTAATTACTCTGCATTCTGTCTGTTGTCTTTATTAGTTGTTGGATATCTGAGACTCCTACCAAATTTGTAAAAAAAAGTAAAATTAATTTTATTACATCATCAAGAAATGGAGATAATATATTTTATATATACACACTACTATATACTTCTCTATATTTTCGAGAATAATTATTCAATGCATCGCATCAAACCAGTTTGGGGTCACTGCTGGGTCAAAGATTAAACTTTTTATTTATTAAGAATTTGAATATGCAAAGTTTTTAACTTTCTTTGGCTTTTCTCCATGGTTAAAAGTGAGCCGATCCCGTTAGGTGCTTCAGTTGTTTTTTTGAGCGAATACAAAAAGGATCGTCGAGAAGATGAAGTCGTTTCTGAGTTGGATATTTTTCTCACTCATCCTTATAGCTACTATCAGTGTCGGTGTGGAAGGTGTGTAAAGGTTAAACTAAAAACTTTTAAAAACATTATTAAAAGTTCAGATTATTAATATAAAAATTAAACCAAAAATTGAATAATGAAGCTCGTCGTCTGGTCCTGCGTCCTCTGACGAAGAGAGAACTCCGCAATGCTCTGGAGGAATCTGGAATAGGCTCCGACTCGGCAGCTGGAAAATCGGTAGCTTCAGCCTTAGCAGGGCTAAGTGGACTTGCCCTGGGCATTACCAAGGGAATTGGCGGTTCATTACTGTTCGATGTGGTCACTTCGAATGTCACCATCGATTACATCACTAGTCTGTTGAACTCCACCGCCTCTTCCACGACTTCGAGCAGCAGTGGAACCTCCCAGGAGATCTGCTTCAGCAGCCGCAGTGTCGACGGAGAGGACCTTAAAGACCGAAGCCAGGATGAGGCTTACGTGGACGACAGCGTATATTCATCGGAAGAGTGGAGACAGTTACCTAGCAGCACCAGCACCGACAATTCCTGGACAATCAATAATCCATCAACGGATACCACCGCACCCACAACAGATACAAACAGCGGAAATACCTGTATTGTCCTGGGATCCAAGGGATATCGTCGGAGGCGCCAGCTTGAGATTCGACCAGGAACCCTGCGTTCACGCGCCTCAAGGCGCCTACGAAAATTCTACAGGAAAAGGTTTTAGTCCGTGCAAATTTATCGATTTCGATTAGTTTATTAAATTTTAATTGTTCCGCATTCCATTGGAGCTGGAGCTGGGTCGTCTTTATTAATGGTCGGATGACTTGGGAAAATTTTAGATTGACATATTTTATGATTTGCTGACATGCACTCTTGGGTTCGCCCCGAGGGATTTTACGGGGCGTATGGACTCGCCTTCCGAAAATAAACATTCATATGTGTAATATACACCTTCATAAATATCTTAATCAGGGGAATCTTATGTATTAAATGTTAGGTATTAAAGCTGTAGTATTCTATTTAAAGTAGGTTGAAATTTTCTAAGACAGAGCGAGCCAGATGGGCTTGTCTTTTAACACAGCTCACGAAGCTACTTCCTTCTCTTGGGAAAAACTCTGTTTTATTTATTTCAATTTTTTATTTCTCCCCATTTCCATCACTTTTTCTCTGTGTGCACTTTTGCAGCGTCACGCATATCGCCGTGGCAGAATGGTTATTAATACAAACAGCCACGCACGCAGCCGTCCATCTCCGCCCTTACCCTTTGAGTGGCCCACACACCCCCTCGTTTCCTTGTAGCCTTATGTAAACATTGAAATGTCATTGCCGTCGAGGGCAGCGGCCCGGCACATAAATCCTCCTTGGCCACAATTTATTAACTTTAACACTAGCCGATGTCAACGGCACCCCCCTGTTCGCTTCCAGCTCGCCCAGCTTCCAGTTATTGATTTGGATGCGAAATTTATGTGGTCGAAGGACCTCCAGCCAGGACTCTGTTTAGCGAACTATTAACTTTGAATCTTCTTTGAAGTGCAGTGTTTATGTTATTGTCTGAACCCTGCCCGGCCTGGCTTCGACCGGAATTGCATTAGGGACCATTTATTATTTATGTTAATGCCGTAGCAAGTCCTGTCAAGATCTGAAAAAGTGGTTAGTGATTAAAGTGCGGGATGAGGGGCAAAGCAAACTATTGCTTCAAGAAAACCAAACTCATATTACCATATCTCTGCATCTTCAAAAGGCCATTGAGACGGAATTTGGGAGTAGGTACATATGCTAGGTACAGTGGGACTTCTGTAATTGTAAACTATATGTTTCAATTTTAGAAGAAATTAAAGAAAATTATTTGTAGTGAATTAACATGAAAGTAGAGAAAATATTAAAAAGAAACTATATTTATAAAGGACACTTTCCTTTGAAAGCTTTTTTACTAGCTAAGAAAAATTCCTTTTACTCGAAACCAACTGTGCGGGACTTGTATGAGAGAATCAGCAGCAAAACTACAATTATTGTGCACTTTACCATCGTAGAAAAAGCCGGCTTAATGACCAAGGCCATGACCCCAGTAGGGCAGTTGCTGCCCCTCGGCCCTCCTTCTTCCGTCTCCCTCAGAAATTGCGTACTAAATGCGCTAAATTACTAACTAAATGCCGCAAGTGCCGCCCTTGGGCATGGCTAGAATTTCACAAATGAACGCCCTTTTCGGAAGGGGGGTGGCAAGTGGCAAGAGGGGGTTGGTTGGCTGTTTGGGCCAAAGCCGAATACTGAAGTCGAAGTCAAAGTGAAAGCAAAAGCAAAAGCCAAAAACTGCCGACAGTCGATGACATTTGAGCGATAAGAAAAACTGTTGTGTGGCTTACTTGGTGGCTGCTCCCCTTGTGATTTTCCTAGAGGAGGGTAAGGGTAGCAGTAGGCCAGGGGTCAGGGGTCGAGGCCAGGTCCTTGTGGTTGTTGTTGGCATTAAGTATGCAGGCGTGTGAATTGCGAGGGAGCTGAAATACAAATAGTGAACCACCACCCACCGCCTTTGGCATTGCCCGGGTCTCCTTCTCAGGTCTTTTGCAGGCATTTTTACAGTTATTTTTACAGCATTGAAAATTGTTTTAAATGTTAATGTTGATGTCGTTGCCGCCGAGCTGATAATAAAATCGGGGCATCCCAAAGCCAACGAATAATTGAGTTGTTTTCGCAGGGGTGCCGAGAGTGTGACATACACACCCCCAATGGCCACCCTCCCCCCCTGAGAGTGAGCTGTGAGGAGTCGTCGCACTTGTGTTAAATTATGCGGGTTTGATTTTTATTGCAACGCCGCTCATTTCGAAGCTGTTTTTTTTTGTGTGCTTCTTCCTTTTCCGTTTGTTTGCTTTGCCGGGGTTTCCATTGTTTTATAGAAGGACCTCTCCGCTGAGGTTATGATACATCCCACCCAGGCCCCAAATCAAAATCATCTTGAAAGTATAAACAAGTTACAGGACCCTGCCGTGGAGTGGCAAGCACGCGTGTGAGTGCGGCTGTAATTTGGTCATGCCTCGTTGCCCCAACGAGCTGTTGCCTGGCATTTCAATTAATGGCACTTGCCACCCCTGGAATCTCTTCTTTCCCTTCTCGTTTCTCGTTTCTGAGCTCCAAAGGGTCATCACTTTCACCGCTGCACTCCTAATGAAGCTATCTCCAGCAGTTCCAACCCTTACTCCGTCGCCAAAGAAGAAGTGCTTGGCACTTTTGGGTTGTCAACAGGAGTCAAGAGATAATCATCTGTACGCTGGTAAAAATTTATGGTTGAGTTTGAAATTGAAACTTGGATGGGCTAACTATAAGAAACCGATTTGATTATCTGATAATTGGAAACTTTAACTTTAATAATAAGAATACAAACCAGTTTAGTAACTGAAGAAGTTTAAGTTTAAAAAATAAATGAGCTGAAGGTTAATAAATAAAAGACTTTTGTTGTATTTAAACGCCTGATGACTTGTTTCCCCCTGTTTATTTTTTCCAGTGCACAATTGCAACTTCGCGGCGACACGTGACCGCAGGGATATCGGTTGAGCCCGAATACGCCGCATCGCACGTCTTAATAGATTTTTGATTTGTTTGTTCAACCGCCCCCCAAACCCCTCACAGTCGATTTCACCCCTGCCCCATATCCATATCCCAACTCGAATCCGAATCCAAATCCAATTGTGAGCCGCGCGTGCGTCTCTGATTGGAATAATGATTTGGCAAACGAAGCTAGAAAACAAACCGTGGCCAGATTTTTCCAATTTTTTGGGGAGTAACTTGTTTGTCAATATGGAAAATCAATACGGAATATTTTCGTTTTGTCTTTTGTTAAAGCAGGCGCGTAATTCAATAAAGTGGGAGAGGAGAAATCCTTGACTCCGGATACTGCTAGGTGAACTGAAGGCTCAAGGCTTCGAGGACGAAGATTAAAAGCGCGACCTGAAAGTTTGTCTGCCTCAATTTTGGGAAAGGGAGGTTCCTTTGGGGGAATGGGCCAACAATATTGAGCAACATTTTACAAATTGTTTCAATTAAAAAGTTTACTGCCTTTGGTTTTTCGCCTTTTACTTAATCTATAATCGGCTTGCGATTGACACGTGCTATCGAATGGGAAGTAATGGCTTTCGGGGGCGCTAATTGCGGCGACCTTGGCTGTGGGGTAGATATTTATAAGTCCGCAAAGTTGGTTGCATAATGCCCGCGCAACGTCCGAAACTGTCCGAGTTTCGTAAGCTGGGAAAGCCAAAAGCTGGGCCAATTAATTAAATATATAATCAGTGCGAGAAAATGTTGGGCCAATCCGCAATTGGCAATAATTAATTTAATTGATTTAAACGATTCGAGTTGACCCATTAAGGGGGGTTAGGAGGGGGGGCTATCGAGTGCATTTGATCTGTTTGTTTGTTCAAAATTAAATTGACTTGTAATTAAAAGTTTCGCAAATTGATTGAAATTCTCGTGTGTGCTTTTCCTTTGTTTACGTGGGGGCGGGGGGCAAAGCGGTCGTCGTTTCGCAACAAATAAGGGAATCCCCGCTGAAGGGAAGTAGAAGCGAAAAAACGGCTAATTACAGGCATTAATTAAAAATGCACTTTTTGTTGGTCAGTTGGACTGCAGAGAAGTTTAGGCAAGAGTCGCACAAAAGAGCTGTCTGAGACGGGGATTCCTTGCCTGGGATATTTTCTCTTTACTTTGTGAGAGTATAAGAGTGAAGGTATTCTCTTATACGCATCCTTAACTGACCTATGCCAGGACATGTTTGCTTACTTTCCACCATTGCCTAATATCTTGTGTTGTGTTGTCCTTTTGAAAGTATTCTGGATTGAGCAGGACTGCCGCTTATTAAATTGTAATTGAAATAAGAGATTTAAGTACAGGAAGTGCAGAAACTATTCAATATTATTAATTGATATGAGAATCCTTTACGCTTCTCGGACTAAAGGCAACCTTTATTTTATAGTAAACAAAACTAATGCTTAGTTATTTTCTTCTTTTGTCTTCTAAAATAAACTGACTCAATCGACTTGGCAATTGATGCTGACAAAAATAAATACTTATAGGGTCGGAACTGACTTCTAAAGTACTTCTTAAGTACCTTTCAACTAAAATTATACCTTTTCAGGGAATAAAAATGATTAAATTAATGAAATACATTTAAGTTCATCATTGCGTATACGTATTTTTTATTATACCTATTATGAATACCTAAGGACTTTGATATTTATTTGTTAATATATTGGATAAATTTTCATAATTTTCAGTTTACCTTAAATATTTTTTAAATGTGTTTCTAGCTCTGCTAGAATAATAAAATATTTATACACGTACTTTTTCAAGCTGATATATTTTATCACTGTTAAGTAAATAACTAGCTCAAAACAAAACTAAACATAACTGATTGCATACGGAAACCACATTTACAGCAGCCAAAACAAACACAAACATTGGCCCTTTTTGGTAATGAAAATTGCCTGAAAATTAAGCAGCAAATATGAAATTTTCATAACACATCCTTGGAAAAATAAAGAAATATTTACAAATATTTCAATGCAGATGCAAGTACGATTGAGTGCCTGGGCAATGCACTTGCAATAAACAAACAAAGACTCTTAATAGCTCCACTCGAAAGTTGCTTGGCAATTTCGTGCTCCAATAACCAGGCCTTAAGAGCTGTCGTCGCTGTCGCTCTCTCTGGGAGCTCTGGCAGATCTCTCTTAGCCGCAGGCCGAGCGTTAACGAAGGCCGAATGGCGGCTGTTCTTCGCTTCCGATGGCGGCTGCTTTCGTCACACGAACACCCAGCTTCGAGCCAGTCACTTCCTGCGCCTCGAACGAGAAGCACGCGTCCCTGATTTATGTGCGCGAGTTGAGCTCAGAACCAGAACCAGATTCAGCTTCAAATTCATTTATAGCCTCAATTGTAGCCTCAGTTCCATATAGTCAGACTGGTGTTGTGGAGGAAAGAGAGTGCCTAATGAGTGGACGGCTTCGGCCCTGCGTGTTAATGGCGAATTAATGACGGCGATTAAAATGCAATAGCCACATGCATAGGCCCCTTAATGAGCAGTTACAGTTACAGTTACAGTTAGAGTACAGTGAAAGAGTGCTATAAATTAAAAAAAAAGGAAAAGAGAAAAACCCGCGCCAAGTGCTGCCTACTTAGCGGCATTTTTGGGGCTGGCGATCTCTGCGGCCAAGTGCTCGTAGCCCATTAAAACGAAAAAAAAAGTTGTGTAAAACTCAATCCGCAGCAGATTAAGACCCCCCGAAAAAACAAAGGGCAGACTAACTGTCAGTGCGAAAAAGAACCAAAGAACGAAGAACTTTCATTGCTCCCCAGGCAGAGCTTAGCCGAGAGTGTGCCCGGCTCTAATTTGACGGAATCGTTAGTTGACCGGCCAAAGTCCTCCCCCAAGAGCTGCCGCTGGATCGCGTGCCGAGTACAAGCGTAATAACAATAAACTTGCGGATAACAACCACGGACACAGATACAAAAATACAAAGATACAGTTACAGGAACAGGAACAGAAACAGCAGCAAAATGTCCCTGCCATCCAGAGCCAATTTTGGATTACTCAACTGGCTCATCGGCTGGCTGCTGCTGCTGTCGATGGTGCTGCTCAGAGGTGAGTCGCCTCGTCCGTTGTCGGGCTTTTTAATTAAATAATCCAATTTATTTTCATTTAATTTCTAATTAAATTTAATTTGTTTGCGCCAAGCGCTGGCTTCTCTAATTGCCCCCGACCGCCACCGTTGCCCGTTTTGCCGTTCCCACCCCTCTTTCAAAGGTTTTCCCTTTGTCGCCTAGGATTTCCCTTCTAATTTCCGGCAACCAGCGAACGAGGTGAAGCAAATGTCAGAGGGGGAATGGAAAACTGGGGGAATGCGAATAGAAATTCTTTAATTTTTGTGCTAAGAATTTTAATTCCGCTACAGAGTCGGAAAAGTTTCCTTTTGTCTCTGTTTGCCCTGGCGCAAGTCAAAAGGTGAAAGCATTTAATGCCCATCTGTGTGTGGCCCCCAAAAAGCGGAGAAGCCACAAACGTTCTAGGAAAACTGAAGGCGCACACAGTAGGAAAAGCAATAAAAAAAAAACAGGGTTTCTCTCTGGGAAAATAGAATATTTGTTAAGTACAAATAGACATGGTAGTTTCTGAGTAATTTCTACTAAAAATACTTGACTTGTTTAACTAAAAGATATACATTTTATTTATATAATAATTCAAGCTCTTTTATTTGCTAAATCCATTTTAAAATTTATTTCAAGAATTTAGAAAAGTTTTTAAGACCTTCAGATATGAAATGGGGTTGAAATGGTATTACAAGTAAATTGAAAACTAAATAGAGTAGGGTTTAAAAGGTTGAATATATATTTTAAACAAAAAATCTTGTCTTGATTTTTTATAGGAAAAAGGTAATAGTTTATTTTTCCAACTTAATATTTTATTAGCTTTTTCTCTAATCCTCATTTTATTATTAAATTATCTTTATATAAACTCTTAGATCCTTTTTCTCTGTGCAATCCTGGCTCTGTCCTTACTCAAGCCCGGGTGTTAGTCCTAGTCCTAGTTTCGCAGCCATCAAGGTCGGTCCGGAGACCATTTGAAGGGTCTGAGGATGAATGGCGAACCGCAGAGTGTATCCTGCCACATGCAATGTGTGTGTGTGTGTGTGTTTTGTGGGTTGGGCAAACAGTTTTATATAATACTCTGCAGCACACACTGGGCCGAAAATCTCACTTTCAATGCATCAAATGAGAGAGGGACGGCCGCCGAGATAGAGATAGAAATGTGGCAAATAAAAAAATAACGCAAAAACTAACAAATACTAACGAGCGGCAGACACTTGAAAAATGCTGTTGAAGCTTGGTCAGGGTCAAAACGCTGCAGGCTGCAGTTGCCGTTGCTGTTGATGTTTCAGCGTTGCATGCGGCATGTTGCAGTTGACACACGAAACTATTGCCATTGGGCTTGGCTTTTGGGATCTCAGTTTTCAGTTATCTAGCTTAACGTTTTCAGTTTCTGGTCTCTGGTTTCTGGTTTCAGCTGTCCGCTGGCTGGCCTCAGCTTTCGGTTTCCACTTTTCAATTTTCTGCTTTCCGTTTGTCATCTGAGAAAGCGGCAAATTGCATCTTTATATAATTTTCCATCATTTGCCTTGCAGTTGTTTGTCGGCGCTTTGTGATTCTCAAATGAAATACTTTCCAAATGCAATTCACTTTTGCGCAAATTGTTTCCTTTGCCTTCGCCGCCTTTGAGGAGGTCCTTCGCCCCGCTCTTGTTGGCTTTTCCTCCTCTGGCATCTGTCTGTGTCTGGGCATTTCATTTGGCTAAAAGCTACTTGAAGTTGGTTAAGCGCAGACAAACAGAAATTACACATTTTGGCAATTGAAAACCTGCAAAAAGGCAAAGCAATCAAAACAAATTCCTGCCGAATTACTTACTGTGTGTGTGCGTCCAAGGATTTTGTTTGGCTTTGTTGATACATTTGGCCAAAGGCGGTGATTATTTGAACTAATTAACATTTTGGCATTTATCCTACAACTGCAATTGATATTGTTAAAATATGTAATTATAAAATTGTTAATTGTTTATTTTCTTTTCAAAATGATTGAAATTTAGTTTATTTTCGGTTTTCATTAAAACTAACCATCGTAAATATAATTTTGCAGCCGATGAGAGTGAGCTCTCTTTTCAATAAACTTCCCCGGGACTTAAAAACTGTTCATTTCATCTAAAAAATCTGAATTTTTTATGAATTATTTTCCATACATGCATTTTATATTGTTGTTTTGGCTTCAATTAAATCTTAATTGAAAAAGTAGTGTTGGTTTTATTAAAAAGTGTATATATTTTTGTCACTTTTTCTTCAATTATCTGACAGGGAAAAACTCGATAAATGCGTGCACATATTTCCATAATGAATTCATAAAACTTTCGATCGTGTCCTTACGCGGTCTCATGTTATTTGGTTTGCTGGTTTATTAATAAATAAATTTTGTCCTTGCGGTTTGCCCGTTTGCCTGTGCGTGTCACTCGGTATGCAAAATTGCAGTTATTTGCACAGCTGTTTGCCATTTAAGGCAAACAAACGGTTTTCCCCTTTTTTCACCACATAACTCTCGCATGAAGCGCGGTTTTTCCGAGTTTCTCGGTAAAGTATTTTTGTCAATATTTTTCATGACGCTAAAAAGGGAAAAATTACACAGGGAACGGGGTGGAAAAAAAATGAAATGATAATAGCTGACGTGATTTTGCAGTTGAGTCCGGTTAATGCAAAAGCCATGTGGCTGTTATAAAATAATTGATTGGGAATCGCTGGAGTGGTAATCAGTGGAGCACATCATTCAGCGGTGTCAGACTGATGAATGAACCGACGCATTGGCCCAGACAAGTGCCTGGCATCACGCACATTTCCCAAGGATAGACTCGAGCTCAATGAGCTCCTCGATGGCGACGGCACCTTGAAGTATGCAAAGCACATACTCAAGGGTTCGGCCGGGGGAAGGAGTCGCCCAGGTTATTCATACAACCTTATGTTATCAGTGATTTCCCCTTCTCTAAAATATATGTATATATATATTTGCACCCACAGACAAATGTTCTTGAAAAAAACCCATATTTTTTATTCCCCAAAGCGGCTTGAAGAAACAAACTTTCTCTGTTGTTGATTTTAATGGCATATGGCTTCGCTGGAATTTGTGATGAATGTGTGGTGAAAAGTTCAGCCGGAAGGGCTGCAGACTATGCTTTTTAGCATAAGCAACATAGAGTGGAGCTCAAGGGGCACCATTAATCATTTAATTGAAGGCTGGTCACTGAAGCTGATTTGGCTTAAGGCTAAGGGAGCTGTTTAGATAAGTATATATTAGGAAACTGACCCAAAATTAAAGTTCATTTGAATAAAATTTAAGCGTAGACCTTGGAAACATCTTTCACCTCAAAACAAAACACTCTAGAGAATTCCTGGCTAAACGAGCATTCAAATGTATTATTAAACCTACCTACCTACCAAATCTCTGTGGGTTTTTGTAGCCAAATTTAAAATTCTCTGAATTTCAGTGAAGAACATTTCAAGGAGTATTGTTTACCACAAATTAAGACTTCTACAAGATTCAAAAATAATTATATTGGCTAAGCTATTGAAACCTTGCTAAGGCATGATTAATTTCTCATAACACCCCAAAGATAGATACCAATTAAATTTAATAAAAAAACAAGTGTAAACTCAGGTAATGTCTGCTTGACATATCTCATAAAATACCTCTTGGCACCAAGTACTTTCAAGAATTTCCGAGTTCTCAAAGGTGTTTCAGAGGCTAGAAGGAATCGCTAAGTTCTGCCAACTAGTTTGTTAATTAAACTTGTACTAGAAAGTTGTTGCCACAGCAAAGATGAAAAGTTCCCAGAGCCGTGGCACATCTATTTCTTTTAAGGAAATCTAAAAGTTTGCCTTATTAAGAATCCGTTTCTAGGCAGGTCAAACCACCGGCATTATTTTTTACCGTTGCCTTCGTAACACTTATGGATTTGACATTTATATGACAGCCAAGGTTTTTCTGCGTTATGTGTATGAGCAAGGTTGTTGTTGGTCCCCTGAGAGTATTCTTTGTTGTTTTTAGGTTTTCGCCACGAAAAAAAACAACAAGAAAAATAAAGAAAATTGTTTTTATTTTGCTTCAATGGGAGCGAGTGGTGTGGTTTAGGAGATTTTAGGGGGTGCGGAAGCCATGTGCGTATATATGAGCATTATTTTTTGATTCACTTGGCACACAGAAAGCGTCTTGCCTTCGAAACTCAACTATTTTGGTCACGTAGCTGTAGCGCAGAGCAAAAACGATGCGAAAACTGAATCAGCCGAGAAAGAAGAAAATTTATGCATTTGATTTCAACTAATTTTCAGAGTCCGAGCATGGCTGTGAATTGTTTTGTTTATTGTCTTCCAAATTAGATGCTGCCATAAATTAGCTTAAACTAGAGGGGAGAGAGCAGCTCCCTGGAGCTACCCATTCCCGCTTCCTGGCCATTGTTGCTTTTACGACCGCCAATAGCCTTGAGCCAAGAGAGACGTGGCTATTAAAAAGCACTCCGCAATCGAAAGCGGGCAACTCCTTGCCAGCTGCGCTTTCTCCCAGCTTTCAGCTGTCGATTTTAAAGCCTTTAGCCAAAGTGCCAGCCCAAATTGAACCAAAACACTCAGAGCACAGCACAGCTCACACAGGCAGACAGACAAGTGTCGTAAAAAGGATATTCTCGACATAAGTTTCGGGTGGGGGTGTGGGGTGCCTGTCGATAAATCCACAGGAGCAACATAAACCAGTTGCGCGGCTCTAAAAATCGTGTAGGCCTCAATCATTTCCCAAGTAAAATTCGTTTTATTAACACGGGGACTCCGGGACACGTCACACGTGCTGGGGACAAAGTTTTCGCCATCCATGGCAGGCCAGGCCAGGCCAGGAGTTCCTGGAGGAGACTGTGTCTTTGTTGCTGTTTTTGCCCGGGGCGTGCCAGTAACCTACATGAGATGTTGCTTTGAGCCCCCTGTCTGAGCCGCTTTTATTAAAAATTCCTCACACAAACGGCCGGGCTATGGCGGGGTATAGGATAAGGGATATAGTCGGATTCTG